CTGGGATGGTATGGTGTGTATACATCGGGGTCTCTGTATTCAGGGTTCCAGGTGCATGCTGGGAGTGGTGTGTGCAAATGGCGGCATTTGTGCTTTGGAGGTGGGCTGAGCAGGCCTTCAGCTGAGCTGGGCTCAGCAGTGCCCAGCCTTGTGGCCAAATTGCTGAAGTCACTTCCTTTCCAGCAGCAACTTTCCAGGAGGAGGAGTTCTTTAGACCTGGGTAGGGAGTGGGGGGGTGGAACAAGGAGCTCTCAGGGGAAAGAGGTGGGCGGGGGTGAGAGGCGTGGGGAGGGCCTGGTGGGGCTGGAGGAGGCGAGTCCTCTGGGAGACAGAGGGAAAGACAAGGACAGAAGTCTGGAAGGGCCAAGGGCAGGAGGGGATGGGGGCGGAGCAGGGCGGGAAGCACAGTCCCTGAGTGACCTCGGAGGGAGGAAGGGAGGGCCACCCAGCTGGGTGAACCTCGGGTTCAGCCAGAGCTGGCTGTGGTGCCTGCACACCTGGCACCCAGGTCAGGGGGCTGACAGGGGGCGGGTCTAGGGCAGACCTGCTTGCCAGGTGCCCCACTCTGTGCAGGAAGGGGGTGGGCGAGGGCTGCACAAAGGAGCTCTGTGTGGCTTAGGGGTAGGGTGGAGTGGGGTGTGCTGTGCTGGGGCGGGGGCTCTTGGCTCCAGGGGGTAGGGCGGGGCTTGCTCCCCTTGGGGGCATCGATGGCTCTGAGGGGACACCTAGTGGTGAGGGAGGGTAGTGCACCGGGATGGTTGGGGTGGGAGGGGTGGGTGAAGAAGCTGACTGGGGGTAGAGTAGAAGTTAAAAATTAAAACTGGTGGTTGGGACTAGAGCATTTGGAGGAGGCTGCAGGGTAGGGTACTGACTCTAGACAAGGAAGAAGTTTGGTTTAGAGGAGCCAGACAAACTTAAGTTTAAGGCTTCAGCTCTTCCATATCATGGCTGTGTTTGTCCTTAAGGGCATAACTTAAACTTTCTGTGCTTCCATTTAAGTGCCAGATAAGTGACAACTACAAATATTTTTTCATCATTGTTATTTTTTTTAGGATTTTAGGCTGGAGTCAGGTTGGAAGAAGATTTTTAGTATAATTGGGTGGGTGGGAGGGGGATGAAGAGTAGGAGATTGAGAAGGTGATGCTTAACCCCCCTCCTGAGGGGACAGATCCTGGGGGACAAAGGCCCCAAAGGGAAATGCTGGAGGTTTCACAGCAGGAGCAATGGCCCTTCAATGCAGTGTTTTTCAGTTGAGGACATCCCTGGGCCTTCACTCCGGGCTGGGAGGGAAATGGTGTGGGGGGGGGAGTGTGCAGGCTGGAGAGAGAGGGTCATGAGGCCGGAAGTGAGAGCTAGGCCTGGTAGCCTGGCTCCCCTGGGGAGGCTGTGGGTGGGGGCGGGGAGGCAGCCTGGGGAAGGGGTGGGGTGGTCACAGCCGCAGCCACCAGGAGGGTGGGGCTGGGGACTCAAGGATGTGGGCTGGCGCTTCCCGGCACTGTGCACAGCAGGTTGGGGCCCTCTCCCAGCTGTCTGGTGTCCCCATGGGCGGGCTCAGACACACTGACCCAGAAGCAGACAGAGGGACAGAAGGATCCTTTTGGCTTTGTTCACAGACATGGGGTCTACGGGGCCCTTGGGAGGGGTCCAAAAAAATGACCACCTGGGTGTGGTGGGGAGTAGAGCCAGCTGCTTCCCTCAGATCTGAGAGGCTGCAAGAGAAAACAGTGGACAGAGTCAGGAGGTCTGGCAGGAGGACATGCCCAAAGGTCTTCACGGGTGGGTGGGACAGAAGCAACCACTGGAAAGGAGGTTTTTCTTTTCTGCCAAGATGACAGCCTCTGGCCCCAAGTGGGAGGTCTCCAGAGCAGGGAGGCTTGGTAAGTACCACCCTCAGTAAGGGAGGGTAGTGGCTTCTGGTAGGCATCTCTAGGAAGGCGTCAGGAGCCATGGGTCACTGTACTGTTGGAGAGCAGAGTTGGAGATTCCAGAATCTGAGCCCCCTTCCCTCCTTTTCAGGGTATTACCCTCAGGCCTTCCTGCGAGATCAGTGGTGAGATTCTTGAAGCCGAGAGAGCCTAGTTAGCCTGGTCTGGGAGGAGCTAGGCAGGGAAAGAGCAGAACCCTGAGTGATCTAGTAGGCGGGACAATGATGAGGAACAGCTAAGGCCTGGGACCTGCAGAAAGGGAAGGACAGTGGTCAAAGGGATGTTCTGCCTGGATGAGCAACAGAAGGGCCCTTCCCATGCCTTGAGCAAAGTCTCTTTCCCTCTTCAGTCTCAGTTTCCTCATCTATAAAATGGGAGGGGCATGAGGTGGCATTAGAACTACGTACCCACTGGGAGAGCTGATTAAAAATACAGATTCCCAGATGTCCCTTTCACATCTATGAGTCAGACTCCCCTGGACTAGGGCCTGGGCATCTGGAATGTTACACAGCTTCCCCCAGCACAGGGTTTGGAAGCCAGTGGGTTAGATGATTTTAAGGTTCCTCCCAGCCTTAAATTAGACCACAGCTCTAGAAGGAACACTTGCAGGAGTGGCTGAAGGAGAGTTTGCAGGAGTTGGGAGTGGAAGGAGGCTTTGGACTTAGGACAGAATTAGGAACCCTGTCACTTTGCAGCTATGTGACTTCAGGTGAGTTACACAATCTCTCTGAGCCTGTGTCCTTTGTAAACTAAATGCAGGGGTCTCAAACCATGCCTTCTAGTTTGCTGTGAGGGCTCAGTGGGTCCTATGTGTGAAGGTGCTTTGTAGACTGCAGATCAGTGCTCACCAAGGGGGAGTGGAGAAGCGTCCTTGTCTGCACCATCCTGACTGCGGGGTCAGCTCTGTAGTCTTCCTATAGGGTAACACTGGGCAGAGTGGCAGCCAGTGAGAGTCTGCACGTGACTCTTGAGAGGTGGACCCTAGGTATCAGGTTGGGGCCAAAAGCTACACAGAGTCAGGGTCAGCCTTTTTTACGTGTGTGTGTGTGTGTGTTCATATTTGAGAGAGAGAGGTCAATCCATTGCCTCCCACACCTGCCCTGACTGAGGATCAAACACCCAACTTTCTGATGTATGAGATGACATTCCAACCAACTGAGGCACACTGGCCAGGGCAGGGTCAGTCTTTCAGACCCTCCTCATGGTGGTCAGAGCACATTTCACTCATTGCTCCCCAAGATCCCATCTCTTAGGATCAGCCAGGGCCCTGAGTCCCCGGCTCCCTGGAGAGTTAGACACGCCTGGATCTGAGTCCCAGCTCTGCCCAAACCAGGTCTGGGAGTCAGCTGGTAAATATTTATATAGCATCCATAGCGGAGGCCCTGGGTTTTGGGATATAGCAGTAAACAAGACAGACAGTCCTTGCACCTGAAGAGCCTATATTCCAGGGGACACACTGAAGAGCCAGTTTTCCAAGGAATAGATTACAGCCACGATAAATATTGTGAAGGGAAAATAGAGAGAGAGGGCTCTGAGAGTGTATGGTGGGGGCCAGATTAAGGTAGAAGAAGGACGGGTGGTCAGAGAGGGCCTCTGCGGTAAAGGCAGAAGAGAGGTCAGAAAATACCCCTTACCACATTCTCATCTCCCTCCCTCCCTCGGCCACCTTCTCGGGTCACACTTGGCTCTGGAGAGGAGTTGAGAGAACGCCCCATAGGAAAAGGCAGGGCTAGGGACTCGGTGTGCTTCCTTCATTCATCAGTAGTTTTTGGAGCACTCCTGTGGGCCACATGCCCATCGGGCTGTTGAGAGACAGGCACAGAAGTAAACAGGACAGAAACCCTTGCCCTCATGGTGCTTAAAACCTTCCAGTGGATGGTTTCCTCATGGTGAAAGTGGGGATGATAACCATACTGACCATGGGTTTGCAGCGGGTTAGGTGAGGTAAGTCGTAGAAAATGCTTACACCAGTGTTTGGGCAACAGAGAAAGGGCCCCCAAAGGATGAGCTGCTGTTGTTGTTGACTCCCTGGTATGATTGCTAAACCTCTGACCTCAGGTAGTCGTCACTTTTTTTGTACTGCTTTTATCCCAGTAATAATTAAGGCATTTTGATGATCTGATATTTGCCTACCTAGTCTTTATATTGATACAAAACAGGCAAATTCACCTGCAAAATGGGGTTATTAATAGCCCCTACCTCGCAGGATTGGGATGAAGAGTTAAATGAAGTGATGCCTGGACAGCTCTCAGACCAGTGCCTGGTGCGCAGTGGGTGCTCACTAAACCTGAGCTGCAATGGTCCTTTCCAGGCGCTTTCCACACCCTGAGGCCTGGGCCCAGGCCGAAGTTGTCCCACAGCACTCCCAGCTGACAGCCAGCAACTGGCAGAGCCCCCAGGCACCCGGGGCCCTCTCTCTCCCAGGTCAGCCGGGTGCGTGCACCGGAGGGAGCATGAGGGAGCTGCGGGTGGCATATGGAAGAGACCGGGTGGGTGGGCAGGTGGGCAGTGACCGGACTGTGACCACCAGACCGCTCAGATCTCCTGTTGTCTGTCTTGTTGCCCACAGAGACCTCCAGTGTGACAGCCCAGGCGGCAGAGCCGAGGGTGAGTGGCTGGGGTTCCCCTGGAACCCTGGGGGTGGGAGCAAGACGGAGGGAGGCCTGGCCCTTGGTAGGACTTCCTGGCCCTCTCCTTCAGTTGGATCTGGAGTGGTTGCCCTGCCCTGCCGATGCTCTTCCCTCTCAGAGGCAGGTGTCTTGTTCCCTGCCTCTGAGCAGATAGCCAGGGTCTAAAACTGGGTGAGCTGTCAATAAGCAGAACTGGGGCCTGTGAGGGGTTTATGGTGCATGTGGTCGTTTGGGAAAAGCTGGGGGTCAACAAGTGGATTGGACTTGGGGAGGGGACTTAAGAGAGGGGTGCAGGGGCTCACTGAGGATGTGCGAAGCTTATGAGGACTTCAGCATTCAGTGAGAGATCTCCTGCCTGTCCTGCCCATTAGGTCCTGGTCCCGGCTTCTCGCACCCTCATGTCAGCCCTGGCCCCGCCCGGCGGCCCTCGGAGGACAAGGTCAGGATGCGTGTGAAGCCCCAGGGCCTGGTGGTGACTTCCAGTGCTGTGTGCAGTTCTCCTGACTACCTCCGGGAGCCCAAGTACTATCCCAGCGGCCCCCCTACCCCCCGGCCCTTGCTTCCCACCCGGCCCCCTGCCAGCCCACCTGACAAGGCCTTCACCCACACCTTCTCCGAGAACCCGCGCCCACCCCCACGCCGGGACCCCAGCACCCGGCGCCCACCAGTCCTTGCCAAGGGGGACAGCCCGCTGCCTCCTCGGACAGCCCATCCAGTCTCACAGGCCCACTGCCCCACATCTGCTGAAGACGGCAGCAGCTCCCGACGTCTCTGGGACAACGGGCGGGTGAACCTGCGTCCAGTGGTGCAGCTGATTGACATCATGAAGGACCTGACTCGGCTCTCTCAGGACCTACAGCACAGCGGTGTGCACCTGGACTGTGGTGGGCTCCGGCTTAGCCGCCCACCCGCTCCGCCCCCTGGTGACCTGCAGTATAGCTTTTTCTCCTCCCCCAGTCTAGCCAACAGCATCCGAAGCCCTGAGGAGCGGGCCACCCCCCACGCCAAGTCTGAGCGGCCCAGCCACCCCCTCTACGAGCCTGAGCCTGAGCCCAGGGACAGTCCTCAGCCCAGCCAAGGCCATAGTCCCACAGCCACAGCCTCAGCCACTGGTCTGCCCCCAGAGCCTGAGCCAGACGGTCCTGATTACTCAGAACTCGCTGACGCCGACATCCTTAGTGAGCTGGCCTCTCTTACTTGCCCTGAGGCCCAGCTGCTGGAGGCCCAGGCCCTTGAGCCACCATCTCCTGAGCCAGAGCCTCAGCTCCTGGACCCCCAGCCCCGCTTCCTGGACCCACAGGCACTGGAGCCACTTGGGGAAGCTTTGGAGCTGCCGCCCCTGCAACCTCTTGCTGATCCTCTGGGGCTGCCAAGCCTGGCTCTTCAGGCCCTAGATACCTTGCCTGACTCCCTGGAGTCACAGCTGCTTGACCCTCAGGGACTTGACCCCCTGCCCAAATTGCTTGATGTCCCTGGCCGTCATCTGGAGCCTCAGCAGCCCCTAGGGCCCTGCCCACTCGCCGAGCCCTTGCGCCTGGACTTGTGCTCACCCCATGGCCCCCCTGGGCCGGAGGGTCTCCCCAAGTACGCCTTGCGGCGCACTGATAGGCCAAAGATTCTGTGTCGCCGGCGAAAAGCCGGTCGGGGGCGTAAGGCAGACACTGGACCTGAGGGCCGATTGCTGCCCCTACCTATGCCCACAGGGCTGGCAGCCGCCCTGGCTGAGCCTCCACCACCACCGCCTCCACCTCCTCCTCCTGCCCTGCCAGGCCCGGGCCCAGTCCCAGAGCTGGAGCCAGAATCTTCCCAGACCCCAGTGGTTCCTACTCGCAAAAGCAAGTGCCGGGGTGTGCGGCGCATGGTGGTGAAGATGGCCAAGATCCCTGTATCACTGGGACGGCGGAACAAGACCACGTACAAGGTGTCGTCCTTGAGCAGTAGCCTGAGCGTGGAGGGCAAGGAGCTGGGCTTGCGTGTATCTGCAGAGCCCACCCCACTGCTGAAGATGAAGAACAATGGACGGAACGTGGTGGTGGTCTTCCCACCTGGCGAGATGCCTATTATTCTCAAACGGAAGCGTGGCCGCCCTCCTAAGAACCTGCTGCTGGGTCCCGGCAAGCCCAAGGAGCCAGCTGTAGTGGCGGCCGAGGCAGCCACTGTGGCAGCGGCCGCCATGGCCGTACCGGAAGTGAAGAAACGGCGGCGGCGGAAGCAGAAACTGGCATCTCCCCAACCCTCCTACGCAGCAGACGCCAATGACAGCAAGGCTGAGTACTCTGACGTCCTCGCCAAGCTGGCCTTCCTGAACCGCCAGAGCCAGTGTGCTGGGCGCTGCTCACCGCCCCGCTGCTGGACACCCAGTGAGCCTGAGTCAGTGCACCAGGCACCCGATACCCAGAGCATCTCCCACTTCCTGCACCGTGTGCAGGGCTTCCGGCGGCGTGGTGGCAAAGCAGGCGGTTTCGGCGGCCGGGGTGGGGGCCATGCGGCCAAAGCAGCCCGATGCTCCTTCAGTGACTTCTTTGAGGGCATTGGCAAGAAAAAGAAGGTGGTGGCGGTGGCGGCTGCTGGGGTAGGGGGCCCTGGCCTCACCGAGTTGGGGCATCCCCGCAAACGGGGCCGGGGAGAGGTAGACGCCTTGACTGGGAAGCCCAAGCGTAAGAGGCGGTCCCGGAAGAATGGGACTCTGTTCCCAGAGCAGGTGCCCAGTGGACCAGGCTTTGGAGAGGCAGGCGCCGAGTGGCCTGGGGACAAGGGTGGTGGCTGGGCCCCTCATCATGGGCACCCAGGCGGGCAAGCTGGCCGAAACTGTGGGTTCCAGGGAACTGAGGCCCGCGCCTTTGCCTCCACTGGGCTAGAGAGTGGGGCTTCAGGCCGTGGCAGCTACTACAGCACGGGCACAACTGCTGGCCAGACTGAGCTCAGCCAGGAGCGCCAAAACCTTTTCACTGGCTATTTTCGCTCCCTGCTTGATTCGGATGACTCCTCTGACCTCTTGGACTTCGCCCTTTCAGCCTCTCGCCCTGAGTCCCGCAAGGCATCGGGCACTTATGCAGGGCCCCCTACCAGTGCCCTGCCTGCCCAACGGGGCCTGGCCACCTTCCCTAGCCGGGGAGCCAAGGCCAGCCCAGTGGCAGTGGGCAGCAGTGGGGCGGGGGCAGACCCCTCCTTCCAGTCTGTCCTGCCCGCTCGCCAGACCTTCCCACCGGGTCGGGCAACGAGCTATGGGATAACCCCAGCCACTTCAGACTGCCGGGCAGCTGAGACCTTCCCGAAGCTGGCTCCCCCCGCTTCAGCTGTGGCCCGTTCACCTACCACCCACCCTCCTGCCAACACCTACACCCCACAGTATAGTGGCTATGGGGCTGGACAGAGTGTATTCGCCCCCGCAAAACCCTTTACGGGCCAGGACTGTGCTAATAGCAAGGATTGTAGCTTTGCCTATGGCAGCGGCAACAGCCTGCCTGCCTCACCCAGCAGCGCCCACAGTGCTGGCTATGCCCCACCGCCTACCGGTGGCCCTTGCCTGCCACCAGGCAAGGCCTCTTTCTTCAACAGCTCTGAGGGGGCTGCCTTCTCTGGTTCAGCCCCCACCCCCCTGCGCTGTGACAGCCGGGCCAGCACCGTCTCGCCTGGTGGCTACATGGTACCCAAGGGCACCACAGCCTCTGCCGCCTCTGCTGCTTCCTCCTCCTCTTCCTCCTTCCAGCCCTCACCTGAGAACTGTCGGCAGTTTGTGGGGGCGTCTCAGTGGCCTTTCCGGCAGGGCTACGGAGGCCTGGACTGGGCCTCAGAAGCCTTCAGTCAGCTCTACAATCCCGGTTTCGACTGCCATGTCAGCGAGCCCAACGTGATCCTGGACATCTCCAACTACACACCACAGAAGGTGAAGCAGCAGACGGCCGTGTCCGAGACCTTCTCGGAGTCGTCCTCCGACAGCACCCAGTTCAACCAGCCAGTCGGGGGCGGTTTTAGGCGTGCCAACAGTGAGGCCTCCAGCAGTGAGGGCCAGTCGAGCCTGTCCAGCCTGGAGAAACTCATGATGGACTGGAATGAAGCATCGTCTGCCCCCGGCTACAACTGGAACCAGAGCGTCCTTTTCCAGAGTAGCTCCAAGCCAGGCCGTGGACGGCGGAAGAAGGTCGACCTGTTTGAGGCCTCGCATCTGGGCTTCCCCTCGTCCGCCTCAGCCACTGCCTCAGGCTACCCGTCCAAACGGAGCACAGGGCCCCGGCAGCCACGGGGGGGACGGGGCGGTGGGGCCTGCTCAGCCAAGAAGGAACGGGGCGGCGCAGCAGCCAAAGCCAAGTTCATCCCCAAGCCACAGCCGGTCAACCCACTATTCCAGGACAGTCCAGACCTTGGCCTGGACTACTACAGTGGGGACAGCAGCATGTCACCACTGCCCTCACAGTCGAGGGCCTTTGGTGTGGGTGAGCGAGACCCCTGTGACTTCATGGGGCCCTACTCCATGAACCCGTCCACGCCCTCTGATGGTACCTTTGGCCAAGGTTTCCATTGTGACTCGCCCAGCCTGGGTGCCCCTGAACTGGATGGCAAGCATTTCCCACCACTGGCCCACCCGCCCACAGTGTTTGATGCTGGCCTGCAGAAGGCATATTCACCCACCTGCTCACCCACACTGGGCTTCAAGGAAGAACTGCGGCCGCCACCCACAAAACTGGCTGCCTGTGAGTCCCTCAAGCACGGGCTCCAGGGGGCCAGCCTGGGCCATGCAGCTGCAGCCCAGGCTCACCTGAGCTGCCGGGACCTGCCGCTGGGCCAGCCCCACTATGATTCCCCCAGCTGCAAGGGCACGGCATATTGGTACCCACCTGGCTCAGCTGCGCGTAGTCCACCCTATGAAGGCAAGGTGGGTACAGGGCTGCTAGCTGACTTCCTGGGCAGGACGGAGGCTGCATGCCTCAGTGCCCCACACCTGGCTAGCCCACCAGCCACGCCCAAGGCCGACAAGGAGCCACTGGAGATGGGCCGGCCACCTGGCCCTCCTCGTGGCCCTGCTGCAGCCACTGCTGGCTATGGCTGCCCGCTCCTTAGTGACTTGACCCTGTCCCCTGTGCCGAGGGACTCGCTGCTGCCCCTGCAGGATACTGCCTACAGGTATCCTGGCTTTATGCCACAGGCACATCCCGGCCTGGGTGGGGGCCCCAAGAGCGGCTTCCTGGGGCCCATGGCGGAACCTCATCCTGAGGACACATTCACCGTCACCTCCCTGTAGTGCCAACTGAAGTGCCGACTGGACCTCGAGGTTTTGTTCCTGGGTGAGTCTGGGGATGTGGGTGCAGTGGGAAGAGACCTGGGGCGGGGTGGGGAGAATAGTGACGAGCAGGAAGGATTTAAGGACAGGATTAAGGACCTGAAGAAAATAAGGAGTTGGGATTCAGGAAGGAGTCTGGGATTATATATTGGGGACAGTTTTATGGAGAGGGGTTGCTTGGGCCGGGAACCCAGCCCGGGGCTCAGATGTTACTGGAATGGCTGGAGAACCACAGACTGGGTGGTCTCATCTAGTTTGGTTCATCAAGCACGCATTTCCCTCATTCACGCTAAGTCCCGGACAGCACCACCCAAGTCCCCAGATTCCGGAAACAGTCACCACTTGACCTTATGTGAAGGAAGACGTTCGAATCGCTCTGTGAAGGAGGAAGCAGGTTGTGTAATTGCCATCCAGGGTACCAACCGTGACAGGCTCCTTCATTTCCTCAGGAGCTTCGTTTAGTTTAGGATGAAGTCTGGCAAGAAGAGCCAGGCTAAAGGTAGGGCCAGTACGTCTGGTCATATACTCTGCAAGGCTTTACAGAACACCCAGAGTACCCTTTCCTGGTCTCCCACAGCACCCGCAAAGGCTGTTTCTCAACACCTTTGGCCAGAGGTAGGCTCAGTGTGGTCGGGAATGTGGGGTAAGGACCTAGAAGTAGAGAAGGGGCCCTGGGATCCCGCTGTGGCCGTGTCAGTGGGTCTGTCCCCAGGCAGGATGTGTCCTGCCTGGAAAAGCCAGTCCCTTTCCTGAAGCCAAATGCTTTTCTAAGAGTTAAGTTAACTATTGCTAGATACTCAGATGTTTTTATTAGGCACTGTGATCTCAGTAGTTAGGGTCACAGTTTTTTAATATTCTCAAGGTTTTGTGCTTTAGAAAAAAGGGAAAACAAAAGAGGGGGAAATGCCCCCAAAATAGTAAAAGTGGAGAAGGTCGGAAAAATCATTTTCTTGACGAACAACCTGCTCCAGAAAGGCCCCTCAGGCCCCGCTGTTGTCCAACAGGCCTGTCAGAGAATTGGCCTGGGTGTGGTGGGTGTCGCTGGAGTGGCTGGGGGCCCAGAGCCCCTCACTCTTCGCATCTGCTGCCACCACAGCCTCCTGGGAGTGGCTCTTCCTGGAGAGGGAGCAGCAGGGCTCCTGGAAAGCCCCGTTTGGGTCTGAGGAGGCCATTCAAGGCCAGGGTGACTCAGGGTCCTAAAGTCATGTCAGCGGAAGCCACTTACCCGCTCTCCACCCGATCTCGGCTCCCCTGGTGCCTGATTTGGGCTCCTTGGGAGTCAGAAGGCCTAGAGAAGGGCCATTCCCCAATTGGCCATCGACTTGTTCTATGCCCTTGACCAAGCTCCTATTCTCCCTCCCCTGACTCTGGCCTCTGTTTCCCCATTTGTTCAAGGAAACAGACTTTGATCATCTCTTAGGCTCTTGCAACTCTGCATGACATAGACAATGGACCAAAGGGGTATTTTCTTGGAGTGGGGGGGCAGTGTTGGCAGTATATTTTTTCTCCTGATAAAGCCAGGCCAAGATTAAAATGGCCTTCCATTCCCTGCACATCTCACTGCAAGCAGTAGAGCCACAGATTCAAAGCAGGCCAGGGGGAAGCTGCTTAGGGTTTAAAATGTCAAACTCTTGATCCTTCTCACTGGAGGGGAGATGTCTCATGGATAATCAGAAATGTGAAATAATCCGAAAGCCGTTCCTCCCGCCTCTGGGTGGGAGAAGACACAGGTGTGGGGGCTGGGTGTTCGGGCAGGTCACAGCTCAGTGAGATGCATAATGGAACGTCAGTGAGGCCTGAACACAGGAGGAACTGGGACACCATCCAGCCCCACATTCTGGCCCTGCTTCCTGCTCAAAGCTGAGAGTCAACAGCACTCTCCTCAAACCAAAGCATTCGGATGTTCCAGAGACATCTGTCCAGTACCCAGTGTATGCCTGGCATGGGGTGGGGGCACCACAGTGAATACCACAAATGAGGTTCTGGTCCTCAGGGGGCTTCCATTTTGGAGGGAAAGATAGTAACCAGAAGGACACGATGCCTTTGGCAGAGATCACCATAAGAAGGACTGCAAGGAGAAGAGCTAGGAGCCCATGAGGCTGTAGCAGGCTGGCCAGATCCTGAAGCTTATGCTTCACAGATGAGGGAGAGGGAAAAACATGCTGGGTAGAGGGAACAGCTGTGGGGAAAGGCCCGCGGCAGGAAGGAGCCCCGCTTCAAAGGCAGCAACACTGAGTGAGGAGGTGAGGCAGGCAGGGCCAGAATCACACAGGGCATTCGCAGGGTTTTGAATTTTATTCTAAGACAAGTAGGGAACCGCTGCGGTTCGCCCTCAGCTGGAATATGCCAAGGGTCACGGTGGAGCAGGGCAAGTGGTGGAGGAGGGGGACCAGCTGCAGGAGTCCAGGCAGGCGCCGGTGGTGGCTTGGACCAAGACGGTGGTAGGGCTGTCTCCCTTCTTTAAGGTGGCACACCAGGTCCCTCACCTAGGACAGCCCATCAGTGCCAGGCATCAGTTAAAATCATTGTGGAATTGAGGAAGATTTGGGGACGTAGGGAAGTAGAATGGTGAGGAAGAAGAGTTAGCGGAGAGAGTGTCACTGTCGATGCAGGGCCTAAGCAGAGAGGACAGTGACATGCTCATTCACCAGCAGACAGTGAGCACTGATGTCGGGCACTGGAGAAGCAGTCCTTCAGCTCAGCCTCAAGTCTTGAGCCCCTCCCTGCCCACCCCAGTGCCAGACACAGAGAGACAAAGCAGCTATGGCCCCTGTTCTCAGAGGTGAGCATCTATCGCAGGAAGCTAAAACAAGTACACGAAGAACCTGAAAACACCTGGTGGAATGTGGCAGGTGCCCAGAGGCCAGGAGAAACAAAGCTTGTACACCGGGAAGATGGGTGTTGAGGTCAGAAGTAATCTGTCTCTCTGCCTCCGTGGTAAGAAAAGGAGATGCTCTTTGCGCCCGGTCCTCTGGGAGGGGAGCCCCCATCCCCAGTCGGAGTTGAGGAAACAGGTGCAGCTATGAACCTTGCCCTAGGGGATCCAGTCAGTAAGATGTGGAGCCAGCATTCGAACCCAGTACTGTTGGGTTTCTCATGTCCCCTGCCACACTGCTCCCTGTCCATGCCCCTGCCAGTTCCCCACCCACAAAATGACGGATTGGTTGGATGTTCCCTATAACTGTTTCTGGGTCTGACATTTTAAATGGATTTTGAGGTTCTGTGGAAGAAGCTGCATTTGAGCTTGACCTTGAAGAACAGGCAGGATTTGGACACTCAAGAATGGGGGAAGGGCATTCCAGGCAGAGGGAACTGGACAAGGACAGGTCACAGCCCAGTGGGAATTAAAAGAGGGTTAAAAAGCTCAGAGGAGTTGGAATGGGGAATGTGGAACCAGACTGGTCTGGTAGCTGAGCTAATAGGACAGAGAAAGAAAGGGGTAGAGGTGGGGGAGCACCTGAGCCCAGGCAAACATCTTCTCTAGTCCCTGAGATGGAAAGCAGAGCCAGGCAGGCTGGCCCCACGTTGGGCCCTCATGGCTGAAGATGGGCCCTTGCAGGCCCTAGGCAGAGGGTGGGAGGGTAGGGAGGTCCCTCCAAGGCGTTCAGAAATCTCAAGTCCCCCTCTCCTCTCTGTTCCTTCTCAGGCCTGGACCTGATGCCAAGAGAAATGTCACAGGTCCTCCAAGGTTACACCCGCTGGGGCCTGACCAGAACAGGAAGCAGTTTCCAAGGCCACCATCCAGCCAGGGTCAGCAGGCATGCCCGGACCTGGGCCAGGCCCCCACTGCTCTGGGCTTTGTCTCTTCTGTCTTAAAACTTCAAGAGGTCACTTGATCTTGCCTCTGGCTCTGAGCAAGAGGCCGTCACGTCAGGGGTCAGCCAGTCCTGCCCTGCCTCTTCTGGGCTCCTCAGTCCCCGAGGCTGTCCTCCCTCCAGTTCTGTCTCGCCTCTCACAGCCATTTTCAGGCCAGGCCTTCTTGCTCTGAGCCCTCATTTCCTGGAAATCTAATCTCCCCCGTGAACATGCCCTTTCACGCTCCTTCTCTCCCACATCCCTGTAGCCCTGGAAGAAGAACCCAAGGGAGCAAAGCCCTGAAACTGAGGGCCTCGGGGGGTGGGCTGAGAGCATGCCTGGGGTGCAGATAGGCCTCTGTGCAGAGTCTGATTCCATCTCATACCAGCTGTGTGACCTGGTGAGTCACATCACCTTGCTGCCTTAAGACAATTAAGTGAGGTGACTGTGAAGCATTTAGCCCAGTGGCTAGCACGTAGTAAGCGTGTAATCAGTAGCTGGTAAATGGAGAGCTAAAGTCTCCCCTCTGACCCAGTCTGTGTAAGTCACGCACGCCTGACCCTTTCCTGCTTACTCAGGACACTGTAGTCAGGCCTCCCTCAACCTGCTCAACTTGCTTCTTCCTAAGAAGGATCTTGTATCTAGTGTAGATTTGGGGCTTTTGGGGGGAGATGAAATGCCAACTAGGTCTTTGCCTTAACAACTAAGGCTGAGTCCTCCCTGGACGGAGTGGGGCAGAGACAAGGTAACTTACAGGCCCCTACCCCAGAGGGCCTGAAGCCTAAGGCACATCAGGACCCAGGTCAGCCAGAAACCCTGTCCACACTTATCCACACCAGTCCTCTCTCTCAGTGCAGATGATCTGCAAAAGATTTCCTGCGACTTTGTAACAGGTCATGATTTTTCCCCTGGCAGATTTGCCACCTTTGTCACCATAACTTTTGCTGCCACAGTGCCCTCTGTTCGTGCTGGAGGGCAGGAGGAAGTAGGTTAATTCTGTATTCAGTGCACATGAACCAGCCAGCTTTCTGGGCCAGGCATTGCAGCTAGTGCTGAGGGTACCACGGAACAAGACAAGCAGTGTGTCCTGCCCTCATGGAGTTTGCAGCCTGTAAATAGGTGTTCATTAAAAGCCTCCAAGTAAATAAAGCCTTTTAAAAACATTTTTAAGGCCCTGGCTGGTGTGGCTCAGTGGATTGAGTGCCTCCTGCAAACCAAAAGGTTGTCGGTTTGACTCTCAGTCAGGGCACATGCCTGGATTACAGGCCAGGTCCTCAGTTGGGACGTGTGGAAGGCAGCCAATCACTCTTTCTCTCACACATTGGATGTTTCTCTTTCTCTCTTCTCTCTTTCTCCCTCCCTTGGCCTCTCTCTAAAACTAAATAAAATCTTTAAAAACCGTTTTTTAAAAAGCCTCCATAGGAGCATCACCGTCCAGGGGAGGACCCGAAACTCTCCCACCAGAAATGCCAGGGACCCCACACTCTTGAACCATGGGCAGAGCAGGCAGCAAGGATTTCCTGGGGACAGAAAATGCATCTGAACAAATTGGAGGCTTCAGAAGCTGTGCCAGCTCAGCCACCTGGGTCAGAGCGCCCAGTGCCTTGCAGGTCTCCGCCTCAGTACCTGTCTCCTCTGCCTGAGTCCCTTCCCCCACCCACCCACTGTAGCCACCAAAATGCTTGTTCTTCAGGGCATGGTGTCTGGGCCCCCAAGGTATTTACTGGATGAATTGATTAAAACACATTTGCTCCTATGACTTCATTGCTTAACACCTTTTGATTACATCTTCCCCTCTCCAATCTCCTTCCGAACAAAATAAAGCCCAACTTCCTAGGCTGGAATTACGGGTATTCAAGACTTCTTTTTCGACCCTGACCTCTCTCACACCCTCCCTTTCCAGCTTTGGACTGGGAGGGGCTGGGGCTTTCCCCGCTGTGCCCTGTGCCTTTGCTTTAGCTGTTCCCTGGTCTGGGCTTCCCTTTCCTACTCACTATCCATCTCCCACCTACCAACTCCTTTCTTACACTCAGACATCACCTCCTCCAAGAAGCATTCCAGGATCCTTCCCAGGTCCATTTAATGTACAAACATTTATGCATCCATGACAGGGGATTCCTTCTTGGGAATGTCCTCCCCCGACCTCCAGCTCCTTTGGGCTGGTCACTCATCTCTGTGTAATGTCCCCATCTCCTTCCCCAGTGTTTCATCGGACCTGGGACATCTCAGGGTCAGGGTGTTTTTTGTTTGTTTTTTGTTTTCTCCTTGAGTCAAAGAACAGCACGTAGACTAGGGGGAATTGTGAGAGGAGAGGGTAAGTGTTGGGGAGTGGGTAGAAGATGATTTTTCTTACTTCTGCTCATCAGACACGCTCCTAAAAGTGGAGCAGGGCTGACTGGGCTTTTGGAGGAGTCCAGGAGAGAGACACACAGCCACCCAGGCAGAGAAACGCGGCATGGAAGGGCCAGGAAGGACCCTCGGGGCTCTCCCAGTTCCACTGTTCGTGCTCTTTCCTCGGCCTCCACTTCATTTCTACACATACCCGTACCCGTCAGTAACACCTGTCGGCACAGGTACCTCCTGTGCGGAGGCCGGAGAGGTGTGGGCTAATGGGTAACCCTCCTCCTGGGCTGGTGAGAAGTATGAGGCTCCGAGAGGTGGGAGACAGACACCAGGTCACACAGCTTGATGGGTGACCTTTGGTGTGAAACCTCTGGGCCCATAGCATCCCTGTGTGCCCAGCAGTGAAGGAGGTGGAAGCTCCTGAGGCGGGAATGAATGGGAAGGCTAGAGTTTAAAAAGCACCTGCCTGGTAGACGCAGATTTTGAAAAATATCCCTGGAGTGGGGAGGGGAGCCACACCCTGCCCATTCCCAACTAGGAGCCTCATCCTTTGGTGCATCTCCACCTCTCAGGTGTGATCTGGACCCCAAGGGAATCAGTGTCCTCTCCGCATCTGATGGGCTCACTGGCCTGACTTTGCCTGAAAGTGTCGGAGGGGTGGTCTGGCCTTTGGGCAGCTTCAGTTTGTCTCTGACTACTTTGCCTGAAGATCTCTCCCATTACCTTCATCCCCTTACTTTACGGAGAAACCAAAGGTAGGAAAGGGAAAGAACTTGTCCAGGCCTCACAGCAAATCAGTCTTCGTCCCTATGTATTCTCTCAGCCTTCCGTTCTGCTGCCTTGTTCCATGTCCAGGCCCCCTTCTGGGGGGCAGTGACTCGAAGGTGGGGGTTAGACCTCAGCTTCAGTGATTGCAGTTAGTGGGCGTGAAGATGTCTCTGTTGGTTGCTGAAATGAACGTGGGAAATAAAATGCTCCTTTTGCAGTGAGAGCAGTGTTCTCTGGACAACCTGATTGTATACCATCTGCAGCACTTTTGAGTCCCACTCGACTATCCCTCTGTGCCCCCCAGCGCCACCCCCACTGACAGGCAGAGCTCATTCAATGCCCTGGCACCCCAGACAGTAAAACCGCTGGAGCACAGGGACTCGGCAGCATGCGACTCTGCAGTTGTGTATTATGGAGGCATTAAAAGGTTAAGTCTCGTGAACAATGACTGGTGTCCTGGGGCACCAAGTGCGTGCTGGTGTTGGGGATACAGGGGTGCCACACACAGGTCTCTGCTCTGGAGGAGCAAGGAAGGGGATGACAAGTGCATCGGTAGCTATGGTAACAGGGTGGTCTAAGGAGGCATCCGGGAGGTATGCCCGGCCTGAGCTGGACCCTAACACCCCGATTTGATTTAGACTGGTCTTTGCTGTCCTCACTGTCGTGCAGTTAGCGCATGTTCTCTACCCCAGCACGTGCAGAACACTGTGCCCAGCAATGGGTAGAAGAGCCACAGCCCCTCCCGCCAAGGCTAGGCCAGGTGCCCCTCTGTGCTCCCTGAGCCCCTAGCGCTTCCCTTGGCACAGTCCCCATCTCCCTGCATTGAAATTTCCTGGTCTGGGTTCCACTTTGTTTCATTCTCTGCTCAGTGAGCCCCTCAAGGGCAGGGCCTAGCAGTTCTCTGCTTTGCCCCCAGTGCCCAGCCCTGGGCTACCTGGCATGTCAGCCTGAGTTCCATTTTGTGGAGAACTGACCCTGGTGAGGTCAGGGTTCTGCATAGCCGTAGCTCTGTCCACTCCCCCTGGCTCAGGAACCTCTGGATCTGATTCTCTCCCCATCCCCCATCATCCCCCAGATTCTGGCCAACTCATGAAAGCTGGGGAGGGTGGTGGGAGGAGGAAGGTGAGACAGGGATGGCTTAGCAAAGGGTGAGAAAGCCTCCCTGCTGCCTGGCCACCGGCACCATGGGAATGGTTCTGGCAGGAGCTGCCTGCTGGGCTGAGATCACCATGGAGACCTGGCTTGGAGAGGGTCACTGGCAGTGGCTAAGGGCTGAGAGGGGGTGGGGGTGACAGGGATTTGTGAGGAGGCTCCCAGCCTGCCCTGGGGCCCTTAGGGGGAGCAGGAAAGGCTGGGGTTTGGTAGAATTCACTTGCTAAGTGGTTTGAAGCCGCCCATTTTAAGTCTCCCACTTACTTGTCTCCCCAACACATTATACCTGTCACCCCAAAAGGAGGTTCCTTAGCTTAGCAGCTGTTCTTAAACTGTAATAAAACTGTCCTACAGATAGGTGCCTCCAGCCCTCCAGCTGAACCTGTCCCCCCCACGTCCCATAGTCCTGACCCCAATAAATACTTTGCTTATCTCTGCAGCTGTTCCTGTTTATCACTCTACCTTCGGAGAACTGACATCTATCCCAACTTCACCCCCTGCCCCAAGAGTTGCTCTTCTACCAATCACCCCAGTTGCGATAGAGCTGTCGCCCTAATGGGCACACCTCTGACCTCTAGGGCTAATGTTCCAAACTCCCCTCACCTGCAGGAGACCTGACAGCTTAACAGATGCAGCTCCCACCCTCTCCCTCACACCTCTGCCTGCCACCCGGGCTGAGACAGCTGGGTCGGGTGCTGTCCCCACCTTCCAGAAACCCACCTGGGTCCCCAGGCCTTGGGGGAGTACTGCAAGTACAGCCTCAGGACGAAAGTCGTCCCTGGGGCTGACCGCCCAGCAGACAGCGGCAGAGGCTGAGCAGAATGTAAATGCGGCCCTCTTGCAAAGGGGAGCCAAGGGAGGAAAGGCTTTCCGCGACTGCCAGTGCCTGCAGGGGTGGGGGCTGGGGGGCTGCCTTGCTGAAGAATCCTAGAAGGTGGTTTTAGTGCCCCTGTCTTGCCCCTGAATTCTGGTGGGATGGTCACTTGCCAGGTGTGGGAGGCATGAATTTCAGGGCTGAGAGGAAGACAGAACTCTGAAAAGGGTCAAGCTAATGACTGGAGGTCTTGAGAATGACCAAGCCCATTCTTGTCCTTCCAGGTACCTTCCTTCTCATCCCAGCAAATCTGGGGTCTGGATAGGGAACTGAGGTCCCCAGGGCCCCTGCAAATATAACTCTACCTTCCAGGGGAAGGGGATACTTCAGACTTTCAGTGTTGGATGATTCTAGGGAGTAGGGACTTGGGAGACTCTGAGCCTCAGGAAGGCAGGGGGTGCAGCCAAACACAGATGGTATTGTGTTGGGCAGTTTCTTTATTCCTCCATTCAGGCAGACTTCCTCCTCACCTCTCCTCTCTAAGGAACAGAATGGCATTGGTGGGGGCTGGGGAAAGAGGGTTGGATTTAGAAGAATTAAAGCTGCAATTCATACCTGTGCTGTGCTAAGGCTCCCATCTTCTATATTACATTGTTCCTCAGAACAGCCTAGGTTGGAGGAATTGTTACATGAGGAAACCCAGGCTTGGAGAGCCTAGCTGGCCCAGGCCCTGCAAAAATAATGAGTAGTAATTAGTGTCATTTATTATTCATTTATGTACCAGGCTCAATCTGCCCTAAACCACTGAATTCTCCCAACAGCCCTTTGGAACAGTTCTGGTCTCCCCTTTTTACAGATGAGTATACTGAGGCTCACAGAGATTCTCTGACTTGCTCAAGGTCATAGAGCTGTTAAATGCTGGTGCTAGCTTTTGAACTTAGCTGTGTCTGACTCTAGAGTTCAAGTTCTTGACAAATTGCACAACCCAGAACCCTAGCTCCTTGCCAGGCACATCCTTTACCTCTCAGTGGGGTGGGTGTTGGACCACACACTGATTTTACAGAGAGGAAATCTGAGCTCAGAGAAAGCCAGAAGCAGTTCAGAGACTCATGGGGGACTGTTTTGGAGTTTATGGGAGAAGGAACAATGGGGTCAGCTTCTCCCAGAATCCTGGTAGGAACTGGGTGGGGTCCCACTCTTAACCTCTCTGTTCTCAGAACTCAGTGTCTGCCTGCCACTGACTTCTGCCTCTTCTCTTTGTGTTTCTTTGCAGCTTTCAGAAAACCAACGCCAAGACCCCTCCCAGCGTCCACATCGTCCTCTGGCAGGAGCGCCTGCCCCTCTGCCTCCCTCCCCACCTGCACCCCCCTGCAGCCCCCATCTCCCCCTCACCCCTCCCTGCCCATCTCCTCCACGCAGAAGCCCAAGGTGAGCCCTTTCTGCACAAAACCAGCAATTGTAAATACTTTTTAAAAATGTACAAAACTTAAAAACAAAACACAGTTTTAGAAAAAGACAAAAAAAAAGAGAGAGCGAGCGAGAGAGCGAGCGTGTGCAAGAGGTTGCAAGCGGGGCCTCGAGGTGTCCAGAGCCCAGCAAGTATGCACTGAGAAATTTATCTACAGGTCGTTTGACAAAAATGAACAATATCCTATTTATTGTATATACTGTTTTATTATAAATCGTGGATTGTATATTGCATTCTGTAAACCTGCTGTGGTCCCGTGGTGTGCAAATTCGCATGGTGGGGGGGAGGGAAAAGAACCTCTTGCGGGAGCTTTTTTTTTTCCTTTATTTTTCACTCTTTTGGGTTTTCTCTTCTGTTGTTGTTGTTGTTTTCTGTTGGCAGGACACACCCAAAGATCCAAGTTTGTATTAAAATGCAATGAAAAAAAAAGAAAAAAAACACACACACACGTTGTGTCTTGTGAAAGGGGGTGAGTGAGGGTGGATGGAATGGAAGGGGCGCACCAGGGTTTCATCACAGCCCCTGGGTCCCCAGAGGAGTTGAAATACTGACATGTGTTCCTTCCCTTTGAGTTTTCCCTTTTGCCTGAGACCTGAGTCACCTTCACAACGGGCCCTCCACCCCAATGCCTCCAGGCCCTGGTTTCCCTGCCTCTGGCTCCCAGCCTGCCCCCTAGGGGCTACCTGGTCCCTGATTTCTTTCTGTCCCAGGTACAGGGATTCTGCCTCTTAGCTCTTCATTTTGCCTGGGCCCTGGGTCTCCCCTCACTCTGAGACCCTTCTTCTATCCCATATCCTGGTTTCCCTGCTCTGGGTCCTTTTTTAGGTCCCCAGGCCTCTCTAGCCCCTGGACCACCATTCTTTTCAAAGTCCTGGGATGGTTGCCTCCAGGAACGCTGTTCTGCCCCAAGTCCTAGTCTCCGCTCCCTGAGGAACCCCAGTAGGAGTCAAGTCCGGTGTCCCGTACTTCTCTAGACCAGCTACCTCTGTTCACTCTAGATCTCGGGCCTCCAAGTCTAGCCCCCTAGTTTGTGGTTCGTCTCCCCAGCCTCTGTGTCCTCCAGTTCTACTTTGGTTCAGGGACACCTGTCTGAGATACTCCACCCTAAGCCCAACAACTCTTGTGGGACACAAGCCCTTTTCCACAAGGACTGGATTGATCCCCTGTCTGTGTGTCTCCCTTTGCCCCAGAGCCTGTTGTCAGGCCTCCATTTTGCCCCAACACACCTTTCTCTGCTTTCCCCTTTCCATCCTAAGCCCCAAGTGCTGGGTCTGGGTTTCCTCCCAGCTTTCGTAAACTTTGGAAATCCAAAGACAACTCAACCCTGTGCCTATTTCTGGTGGACCCTGAATGACTGAGCTGTTTCCCACTCCCTGACCTCGGGGAACTAACTCTTGGCTGCTTGACTAAGTAATACCCACCTCGAGCTGCCTGGTCTTTAGTAAGCAGCTTTGCCTGCAGATCCACTGTATGTTAAAACTCCATCCAGCATAGGTTCTCTATGTCCTTCCCTGCTGAGGCTCAGGGAGACCCCAAGGGTCAGCTCAACACAGCCTGCTCCTCCTGACCCAGCCAGCAAGGTCCAGGCCTTGGGAGAGTCAAAGGAACCCCCCCTCTGAGAGGGAGACAGACCACCCTTTCTGGGCACCACTGTCTTTTCGAAAGAGGAGGCTAGAGGATTCAGATAGAGGCAAGTAACAAAACCTTACCCCGTGTTGGATGTAAAGGCTCATCCACCCAACCAAGGCCTCTCCACGAATCCCCAAGCATCAGATGAAGACAGTTCTCACCCTCCAGCATGGTGAGAGCAAAGACATCAACATGAGTATCAAGCTGACAATCCAGTATGGTGCTGGAAATGGGGAAAGGGAGCAGTAGAACTCCGTGAAGGTTGGGGAGGGGGGTTTGTTCCCGCAGAAGGGAAGAGCATGGTCAAAGGCCCGGAGATGTGAGAGGTGGCAGGGGTGGAAGCCACACATAGTTAGGTCTGTTTGAAGTAGACACTGTGTTTCAGGGGTAGAGCAGGAGCTTTGGCAAGGTCTGGGGCAGGGAGGAGGCTGGTTGGAGGGGGTGGGTGGCACCTCAAGAACCACTGTGGGGGCGGGCGAGAAGCTTGTTTTCAGCCCCAAGAATCTCCTGCACTGCAGAGAGAAAATGTTCAGCGGTTGCCGAAGAGACTTGGGGAGGCTCTCCAGGTGAGGCAGTCTGCGTAAAGAGGGATGCCAGGGTGGGGGGTGGGGGGCGGCGGAGCTGAGGGCTCCACTTGAGATGGAGGACAGTGAAGAGTAGCTTGTCAGAATTGGAGTGAGGGTGGGGAGGGGAGACCCATGACAGAAATGGAGGATTGTAGCCCAGCAAGGGGGCTCATTAGCGTGAGGGCTTTTTGTAAGGGAGATGGGAATTCACTATAAAGAGAGGGGCAGCGCGAGAGGAGGGATGGGAACCCAGAGAAAGGCTTACAGCTCCTGGATGGGTGGGAGGCAGGCTTGGTGAGGACAATTGGGGTTCCCTGAAAGGAGGGGTCTGGGAGAGAATGTTGGCTCAGGGAGGGGAGGGTTCTGTGGCTTAGTAAGGGATAAGAGGGCCAAGATGCATTTTGGAGAACACACTTGGGAGATCTGTCAGGGCCAAGGGCCTAGCCTTTGAGTGGGGGGATGGGCAGCAGAGACCCTGCCAGGTGGGTGGAGAAGGAATGGGTGGTACTCTTATGTGATCTGTACTTACCACAGGCCCACACCTGATCCCAGAATGTATCAAGGCCACATGGCTCCCAGATACCTGGATTTTGCCACCACATATTAAAATACTGCCAGAGGTATTTATTCCTCAAAAGGATTGTTGAATCCTTGGCCTATGTGGCTCAGTCGGTTGAAGCATCATCCTGTAACCCAATAGGTTGAGGGTTCGATTCCTGGTCAGGGCACATACCCAGGTTACAGGTTCATTCCCCAGTCTGGGTGCCGGTGATCCTGGTCGGGTGCATACAGGAGGCAGCCGATCAACACTCCTCTCTCAGGTGGGTGTTTCTCTCCCTCTCTTCCTTGTTCTCTCTAAAAGCAATGGAAATATGCCTTTGGATGAGATTTTTTTTTAATCCTTTACAATAGCCAAGAGTTGGAAGCAACTTAGGTGCCCATCAGTAAATGAATGGATCAAAAAATTGTGGTACATATACACAATGGAATTCTATGCAGCAGAGAGAAAGAAGGAGCTACTACTACCTTTTGCAACAACATGGATGGAACTGGAAAGCATTATGCTGAGTGAAATAGGCCAGGTGCCGAAAGACAAATACCATATGATCTCACCTTTAACAGGAAGCTAAACAACAAACAAGCAAGCAGAAAAAAAAAAAAAACAAAGACACTGAAATAGAGAACAAGGGGACAGTGACCAGAGGGGAGAGGGAAGGGAAGTTAGGGGGAAAAGGGGGAGGGATTTGGAGGAACAAATAGGAAGGACACAGGGATGAGAATTAAGGGGGGTGGAAATGGGAGGAAGGTGGGGAGCAAGGGGCGGGGGAGGCTGGGATGGGAGAAAGAGACAAAAAACTGTACTTGAAAAATAACTAAATAAAATTAATTTTAAAAAAAACTAAAAAAAAAAAAAAAAATCCTGAGGGCAGAGGAAGATTCACCTCATTTACAAATGAAAAGACAGCTTCAGGGACTTGTGCAGGATCAGAGGGGCAGTGACAGAAGTAGGCTGGCCCAGAACCTGACCCTGAGCCCTTGCTCTTCCTAATGTTTTAAAGAGAAAAAGTTCTAATAAAATTCATCAAAACCTGATTTTTTCTATAACAAACATTTAAATTATTGAAATAAAAATAGAAAATAATTATAATGCTATGTACCAGATACTGTTCTAAACACTTTACATACATAAACGTGCATGGAGTCATCCTGCCTCCACAGAAGTCCTGTGAAGCTATGTCATAATGATCACTGTCCCCATTTTCCAGACAGGAAACCAAGGGCAGGGAGAGGATTTACAAAGACCACTCAGTACACAGTCACATCAGGGCTTAAACCTGAGCACCAGACAGAAGTTCAGGAGTCTGCTTTCCACTCCACGTCATCCCTGGTATGAACACCTGTGTCTACATTTCCAGCTTACCCATCTAGATCAGTGCCTCCCAAACTAGAGATTCTGATTTTATTGAGCTGGGTGGGGCCTTTGCATCAGAATTTTTGAAAGCTCTCCAGGTGGTTCTGTGCAGCCGAAGTTGAGAACCTCTAATCTAGCTATTGTGCTGAGTGTTTGCACACAAGCAGGCACCTGTGTGCACACACCTATGTTTAAGGTGTCCTGGGTGTGTATCAGATGCCTTCTTGTGTGTACACTATGGCATGCATTTGTGTTTTTCACTCTGAGTGGCTGTAAATTACTGTGGATTCTGAGTGACACTAAACACATTCATTTAACAAATATTTCTTAAGCACTTGCAGGATTCCAGGTACTTGTCCCAGGCAGGCGGGGATGCAACAGTAAAGAGAGATCGGGTTCATGCCTTTGACTGTATAGGCTGATGGAATTGACCAAGTGGTCCTCCATCTTACCCTGTGTGTAGCCCAGGTTTGGAGTCCCTCAGAGAGCGTGAGGGGTGAATGGCCGACTGGGAGAGCTTAGGAAAGTGGGACTTGCTGGTACATGGTGGACCTTCTGGTCCTGCTTGCAAACTGTTTGAGCCAGGGAGATCCAGGGCATGCTTCTGGGTTTGAACCAGTATATGGGAAACTTGGGGGGGGGGGGCGGGGGGCTATGTGCAAGGTAGTCACCAGCCCAGAACAGCACACAGATGGTGGCACATGCATGCATATACACACATACACAACCAGCTGCTGCAAGGAAGAGGCTGCATTCCATCCAGCCCCAGGGCACAGACCTGCAGGGCTGGAGAACTGTGAGTATGTGGAGGAGGACGCAGCACAGCTGGGGCTGGAAACTAGAGTGGGGAGGGGGAGACAGAAGAGGCCAGGGACCCACATCTTGATCTCTGGTCTGTTTCAGCAGTTTTAGACCTGGTGCTTTGGGTCTCTGTGAGTCTGGGTCCTCCCCTCTCTAATGTCCTGATCTTGGCATCTTCGTGTCTCTTTCCTGGGTCTTGGACTCTTAAGGCTCATCACATGACTCTGGGTCACTAGCTCTCCAGCCTACTTGGCTTCTATTCCCTCCAAGACTGTCTCTGCCTCCATGTCTGCCTCTGTCTCTGTGTCCTTCCTTGTCCTTGCCAGGTGGGGGGAGGGGGCCCAGTGCTTGGGGAGCAGGTGTCAGCTTGCTCAGGCAGCAGGGAGTGAAGCTGAGGAGGGCGCAGAGCCAGCAGCCCCTGGACACACAGCCACACTCCAGGACACACACTCGGGGCACTCACAGGAACGTGTAATGACATGGCGAGTTGGGTTCTCAAGGAGCCACAGGGACATACACATGGATAGACACA